AATATGGACCATCAGTTTCATTTGTTGTCAGACATAAATCACTGGACAACTTGAAATATATATTTACCCAGATATATATGAATATTTCACAGCGCACTTATTTCCATAACATTTTGTACAGCTTACTATATTTCTGAGCGATGACCTGGAGCTGAATCAACGGTAACACTAAGACAGTCTAAATGTTTGCTTCAGAATTCAAAGCTACATTTTCCTTTGCTTAGTCTGAAATGCGATAGCTTCACTTAATTGCCGTCAGTTGGATATCAGAATAATGCATTGAAGGAATTTGTAGAATTATCTACTAATGAAAATGTGTGCTTTTACTTTTTTCGAAAATGTAACTTTGTGTTTGAACTACTTAAAAATGAAAAAGTAGTATAAGTAAATCACGGTAATTTACACATTTTATCAAACATCTGATTGCTGTCAATTGTTATAATTTCACTAGTTTTTTATTATATAAACTTCAGATTATATCCACCTGAGAAAAACGCTGAGATAGAATGAGTGTAATGCTTTTTCTCTTTCTCTCAAGTTACTAAAGTATAGTGAATATGTGCAACTTTTGAAAAATACTCGGCACTTCAGAAAACTCATTGTAAATTATTTAAAATAATCCCATCATGTTTTAGAAATAATCAAAACAAGATTTTCTTAAACAGGCTGGGATTATTTTAAATAATTTACAATGTCTCAATCTAACTCGGCGCCCAAATTATTCTAGGAAATTCGTAACATCTACTATCTGGAAACTTACAACTTCAGAAAACTGTTTAATACTGAAATCATATTCAAATCTCAGCTTTCCGCTTCTGAAAGTTATACCATAGTATTAAATAATTCCATTTATGCAGATCAGATTGTTTGTTCTAAATAAGGAAATAAGAAGTGGCCATCTAATCCACCTGCTTTTGCAGATCAAAAGTTTTAAGTGGTTTTAAGTTTAGAATTCATTCTTATTGGAATTAATATAAGAGTGGGACACAGACACTGTAGCAGAGTGTACCTCCAAATCATAAAAATTCGTGGTATAATCTTTTTAGACTCTGCGGTGATTGAAGACAAATGACGATGGAATGTTGATAAAAACCAAAAGCTAGTAGAGAGAGACTTGTACATGAATGTAGACTGCATAAAATGATGCTAAAAACTTAGGATGATTTTTTAAAATTATTACTTCTCAAGTTGACGACGGCATTTTCATTTTACTTCAAATTCTCTACTAACCTCTTTTTCAGAGCCTTACAAAGTATTTTTCACTCTTAATTTCATTATATTTGTTGCAGTCACGCAAACATTTAGTTATATTCTAGGTCATCAGGATAGTCGTGTGCTCTGGAATACTCAATTTTGTCAGAAATTTGTTACTTTCATGGCAACCACAAGAGGTGTTCAGATTATAACATACAGAGAAAATTTGTAGATCTCAACATGACAAAAAATCTTTTTATATAATTGAGATATCAGTTAAGTCCTTGCTAAGTTTTAAGCACAGTCTGTGGTGTTTCAAATGGTATAGATTTGAGTCTAGGCCCAATTATGAAATGATGTGTTTCACACATTCACGTCTCATTACTTGAATATCCAAATACTTCTAAAGTGTACCTACATCAGCAATTTCTTAATGAGTCGCAACTGCCCTCTAATTCACCTTCGTCAAAGTACAGATATATTTGTAAATCTACAAACGCTTGTCTTTGAATGATTCTCGTAAATACTGATTGATAATGAGGTTAAGTACTTTTATCCATGTCGAAATTGTAGATTATATCCTCCCCGTAAATTAAAGTTATGAAAGTCTAATAAAGTAATTACAATGCATATATAAGGGCGACTGCGTTTACAGTAAAGTTCTTGCCGTTCTTCAATTACTTTTCTGACGATCAGACGATAGGCTACTAAACTGTTACTATTTTTTGACTCAGTAAAGTGTTTTTGTCAACAATTCACCTTATTAATTTGGAGTAGTCACACTGTAAGAATCAACTAATACTATGGATTAAGATAATAGTTAGAAAGAAGGTTAGCTTTAATATTTTACAATCCAGTTACTTTAAGTGAAGACCGCTGAAATTAAATAATTACCTCTTTTTTAGCAACCATTACTAAAATAAAAATGTTTTGTGCATAGCATAATTTCAACTCTTAAGCTCCCTGAATAACGACTCATTTGTAGATTGTTTCACCTAACTACGACAAACTTCTGCATACATTTTCAGAAAATATTCGAAGAATCTTTTTAATATAAATGGTCATATTTATTGTCTTTATTATCACTACGATAATATAATATCTCTATTAATGTGTGTTGATAAAGCCTTTCCCAACTAAACCTCAGTGAGTATCCAATAAAATTTCCAAAGTTTTTACACTTCTTGGAAGCCTAAGAAGGACATTCATGTCAAACAATGTAGTTGTAAATTTCCAAGTAATGCAAGGTAAAAGCACAACTTTATAGGCTAAAAACTATGCAAAAGTACAAAACACACATTTCACACAAGAATAACTCCATCGTTCAGATTCCGTGCATTGACTCTTGCTATTTCTTTTTATCATGCTAGACGGTTACCCTGCCCAACCCCCATTGCTTTTAGTGCAAATGAAATCATTGTGATTAAATGGATTTTTCAATTAGATTTCATCAAGCTTAACTCTGAAATCCATAACTTTAGAAATAAAAATTCATCTAGAGGCCAGTCACGGTGTTGCGTCTAAAGGATAACAAGGTTGTGTATATAAATTGTGCAATTAGTCATTATAATAGTAATGTCAATAATAAAGGAATTTGAATATATTCATGATTCCGTGACCGAGATGGGCTATCCGAGTAGTTTCATAAAGAGATATGTGTAAACATTGGAGAAAAAACCTGAAACTACGACTGCACATAATAAACTTCTATTTATTAAGTTACAATTTAATGGTGACTTATCAAGTGACATTTTCCAGCAGTATACGGAAGACGTTTTACGCAGCATACCTATGTTTGTCATTCTCTAGCCGACGAATGATTGTGACACAAACGAAGGATAAGATAAACGGTTTTGCCACACCTGTGTGCATTTATCAATTCAACCGCACCTGCGGTGACATTTATTTTGGGCCAAGGTGTTAGTGAACATCTGCCATCGTGGTTTGGCAAAGGCAAGACAAAGCACTTCGTAGCTCAATTTTGTCACATTTAGTAGATAGTGGTCATGTAGTGGAGAAAACGAGAGCTTTCAAAGTAATTCATCGTATCCCACCGAATCTTTCCAATAGACCTCGCATTCATCTACTGCACACAACTGAAGTGATAGTCATTCGAACCATTAAACCCAAATTACGCATTCAAAAGAAGTTGGTACAGCCATTATCCCTCCCTTGGCCTATTAAGACATAACCAACTGTTAGCTTCTCCATCACCTCTTACTTATATTTTCAGCCCTTCTGTTATCATTCCTCAATTTTATCACATCTTCATTAAGAAACGTGTTTCATTTACTTCCCTTACAATCTGACATTATTTAATCGGTTCATTTGTTTTTCTTAGCCTTTATCGACTACTTCTGCCTGGACATTGGTTTGTTTAATCATTCTGTTTTCCGTTATTCATGTTATCGCAGATTTGAACGAAATATTCCCATATTTCAGTCATAAGACAAAGGCACAAACAGCGAAGAAAATTTTCTTTTCGACGATTCATTTTCATGAGCTGTACAATCGTAATTATATTAAACAAAGAAATCTTTAGATCAATCAGATACTGGTAAACTTTGTCCTTGAAAAAGTGTATTACATAATGGAAGGTGTAGAAGGGATGACTAATTGTAAGTTAGAAGAGAGACAGAAGTTGACATGACGTAATAAGTGTGAGATAATGAGTTCTTAATACAATTTTGCTTTTTTCTTTTGTCATGTAAGTTCACTATTATTACTACCATTATTATTATTAATGTTATCAATACTTTTATTATCATTATTATTCCCATCATCCACATTCTATTACCACTCCATTACTGTTTAATAATAACATGGTTTTTCATACAGATTTTATATAAAACACTATCGCCTTTCCACTAGTTCCTGTCCATTCTACACGAGCTTATTGATTAGTCATTATCTCACACTTATTACGTCATGCCAACTTCTGTCTCTCTTCTAACTTACAATTAGTCATCCCTTCTACACCTTCCATTATGTAATACACTTTTTCAAGGACAAAGTTTACTAGTATCTGATTGATCTAAAGATTTCTTTGTTTAATATAATTACGATTGTACAGCTCATGAAAATGAATCGTCGAAAAGAAAATTTTCTTCGCTGTTTGTGCCTTTGTCTTATCACAGATTGCCTCATTTTTACATCCTTATTATTGTTTGTCGGTGGCACAGCGGTTAGGACGCTCGCCGACCGTGCACATAGTCCGGGGTTCGATCCCTGGCCGACGCACACCCGATATCAATGGTTGGCCTGCAGAATTTGGGCTACCGATATCACATGCTGAAAATTTCATATTTGTATCAAAAATACTGTGTGGAGTGAAGCTATAATAAAATAAATAATAAAATAATTATTATTACTAGTATTATTATCATTACTACCATTATGACCAATTACACAATTTATATTCACCATCTTGTTATCCTATAGACAAAACACCATGATTGGTTTATATTTGAATTTTTATTTGTATAGTTATGTATATTAGAGCCAGATGAGATCTAATTGAAAACAATATTGTTCGCTTAAATATGCTTTTCTAAATGAATTTTGTTGTGAAACGTTGTTTTGCAGGTAACAGCGATTGAAACATTATTTGCTAATCGTTTTATTACTATCTGGTATAGAATTTTCATTACCCATCCTATGGTTTTTTGTGTGATTGATTTGAAGTTATATGCATTCACTGACGTCAACAATGGAGTATAGTACAGTAATCACATGATAAATGACTGAAATTTCAATACATTGTAGAGTGATATTATTCTGATTTGACTCACTTTTATAGATTACACGCAGAAAAGAGGAACTCACAAGCACAATACACTAGTGCATCAATACATTTGAGGAATCCCAATAATATTTAACTTCATTAGTATTGGCATTATAACATTTATTACCATATAATGGGTTTGCATAAGTGAGTTGAAAATGGATGTTGTTATATGAAATTTTTAATGGTCTGAGTTAGCGGACTGATATTATTTTAGTGATCGATGACCAAAGGTGAAGTAACAATCTATTTCATGGTAGTATTACAATGAGTGACTACCACAGTACTACACGGGCACTTTACCAGCACATCGATGATAACCATATTTATCATTCTACTGTAATCATCATAGATATTGTTCAGATGTTGCGTGAAAGAATTATAATCAAAGAGTTAAGTGTCACTCATTCGCATGATAATTGAGCATTGCCAATAATCAATACAGTGTAACAGTGACCTGACTAGCAATTCGTTATCAGCTGGTTAAACATCAGGCTGGTAATGTGGAGGCCACGCATTATAGCGTTTTAATTTAATCAATTAACTTCTCTCAGTTGTTGGGCTTGATTATTCTGTCACTATAATAATGGCTTAAAATATTTCTGCTATCAATTTTATGAAAGTAAGAAGTGGAAGGGGGGATTTTTTCGTTTTATCTAAGCCCGTTTGTAAGACTTATGATTAAAATAGATAGTGCCGCTCACTGAATGGCTTTCCAAACACAATTTCTTATTCATAATCCTTTTTAAGATAACCACACAACTCTGAAAAATGTTTTTAACGTTCTATCTTTAAGGTGATCCAGAACAAATCTCGAGTTTTGTTCTGCTTAGAATATTTTAACGAGATATGTAACATCGTTCAAACTTGTTATCTCAGTGTCTTTTAAATTAATTCTCACTATTCAAAACCCACTCGATTCCATATTTATCTGAAGTCATTAAGGTTTGTTGGGTGTTATGTGAAAGGACTGTTTTTATTTTTTCTTTCCTAATTATTAGTAACGCCATCTATCTTTTTACACCATCTCTCATCACATGAAGTTGAAGAATAGAAAAATCGATGATTTCGGCAATAATCAAGTAACACTTAACTCACTAGTTTAAAGCCTTCTGCAGCGTCATTCAACACCAAATGATATCCCGTCAATCCTATAGATAAACATGTCAGTAGAATTACTGTTCAAGACTAAATATTAGATATTGATTTGTTGCGATTTTCTTTAAGTTGATACTAACAGTTATCCTTCACATTTTCACAGGACTTATTTCCTCAACAATTACAGAGTATAATAGGCTCTAAACAAATGGAAATTTTTATTTCTAGCTTTTGAAAAGGACACTGCGATATGAAGTTGTTAATATGCTGCAAGACCTTGCGATTACATCTGTGTATATGACAACTGTATGGCTACTGCAAGTAGTCCACATTATCATACAACGTCTTGATTTCCAGTAACACAATCTAGGACAAAAACAGTGGAACAACGAGTGATTTTAAATCTTTTTATCTGGAAAAATAAAGCATATATACACATGAACATACATTCACTTCAGTATAAGAAAAAAACATGTGAAGCTGATGAAATCGACACCGTATTTCTACCTCGAATATCTACAGAGAGAAATCAGATAGTGGGTATGTGTTCACATGGGAATTCTTCTTATTACTGATAATAATAATAACAATAGTAAAACTGCCTATTATCAAATTTACCACACTATATTAACTGTGATACTCAAATGACAACAACTACAGACAAAAAGTAGAGTATATAAGACCATCAAGTCACTAAGAATTAATCGCAGAAATTTGCTGTAAATGTTTGTGTTCACATGTCGCTTTCTGCATTTATACATAGTATGATGTAATCTGAAGTGTTGAGCTCACATGATGTAATATTAAACGCATCACATAGTTTATCACTATTGGTAAATATTACCGTGACTGTGTGTAAATAAATGTGTTAATTACGTCTCTCTCTCCTTTTTTTCTGGTTCAATATTCAACTTACCACACGCTTAAACAAAAAACATTGGAAAATAAACAGTAATTTTATACACATTAATTGATCTTTGCCAGAATGATATAAAACTGATCAGATTCCAGTTGAAAAGTGAGCTTGCATTAGAATATCTTAATACATAAACTACAACTGTCTGTAGAGCTAAAAATAACTGCACAGATGAAATGTCACTTTCCTATCCAAATTCCAATGATAATCTTAATAAATCTGGTGGAATTTATGAATACAGAAGCATAGATCGTAAAACACGCCAAGTTTTATTTTTTGAATGTGATTTAAGCTGCATTAAACAAACCTTTTTAAAAAGAAGTGAAAAATTCACCGAACAACGTGCAAATCATCTACTTGAAAAATACATTCAAAAGCATAGAAAAACAAGATGCACAGCGTATTTCTTGATCGATCGGATACGTTTCCAACGCAGAAGACCAATTGACATAAGACCATTTCGTAAAGAAGTGATTTACCGGGAAATTAAGCACTTTTTTGTATTTCCAAATTATCCTGAAGTATTTATGATATGTATTGTGGACGAGAACAAGAACAAACGTTCATATGAATCTTTTGAATGTACTAGTAGTGATATCGTAAGTACTGTATGCGGATTAACCTATAAGGCGTCTATAGATACACATAATATTTTGCGTGATACACTTTCAATAAGACAGATATCTATATCATCAAGATCTTCAATAGCCGACCATAATTCCATACAAGAATTGGATGATTCAGCATTCAACAGTTCTGTCAGTGTGGCATATGCAAATGAAAGCACGGCTCTAGATTTTGTTCGATCAAGTGAAGGTATTTCTAGTGATCATAATGGCGACAATGTGAAAAATGATCCTATCTATTTTGATAATGATGGAAATGATGACTACGCTGAGGGTCATGAAGAAATTGATCAGGTATTATCTTCAGAGTTAAACAGCAATTATGAAAGGAAGCAGCCAAAAATAAAGGAATTAAAAAGCCCATTGAATATCTCATCAGAATCAGTTAAACGATCATCAATATATAGCCCGAAAAGAATATGTTCGCAACTGGATTCATCCTATACACTGTGTTCAAATGAAAATTCATTCGCTTCAAGACAAATGAGCGCTACCAAAAATAATGCCATTTATGATTATTCTGTACATAAGACACCACCAGTTTGTACCAAGAATAAAGTGACGCACCTAAATTTACCAGGCGATAAAGCTAAACATTCCAAACAAAGGCTAAGTAATTTTATGCCTTTATCATCTACATCTTCAGAAGACTACGACTTCAACGAAAAACACGACATGTCACCAATGCATCGAAATAAAAATTCAGTAATAAGCACTTCCAGAAGACGATCCCTTTTTCCCAATCCAGATTTGAACCAGTCGTCTATGTATGATACGTGTATACGGAAAAAAACAGTTACAATCGCTCAGTCGAATAACATTTTCCGTTACAACAGTGATGTGAACCTTTTCCAAGATGATGCAGCCTTAAGGGATGACGAAAACGACAACAATGTGCTCCGCAAATCGAAGTCATATTTGGATATACGATCTGGTGACGTGACATATTTAGGCTTTGATCCAGTCGTTGGTATACGGATAAATAATAAAGGCCCTTTATACATGTATATGGCACGATACGATGGTGATCGATTAACTCCACCTTGTAACTGTTCAGATTTAAAACATTTTACACTCAAATAAAATAGTTTTGAGTCAAAATCTCTTATTTCATTTATGTAACGAGAAATCCAGTTTATCATATATATATATATTTTTAAATATATGAAAGGTAGGTCAGAAACATCCTAGAGATTGACTGTTGCAAACTCTTTATGGGTTTCTCAACTTCTCTTTATTGCTTGTCAATGATGTATTGCATTTGACATGGAATAAAACTTATGAAATTGATAAGAGTGAATGTCAGTGTTTTTACTGACCAATGAAACAGACATTAAATCCTAATTGGAATGTTTATCTAGAAAAATGAAATGGCTAATATAACGAAGTGGTAAAAATATCGTAAATATTAACGATAGACAAAAGGTTTTATTCAAATTCCAGTGATGCAGAAACTTATCAACCTAGACGCTCAAAGAAACCTCAGAGTAAGATGCAGAACAATGTAAATTCTCATCTACTTAGAATTAATTCAAGTAATTCTGTTCCTATCAAAAAATTGGGAGAATAACTTTCATGGTTGTTAATTCATTCAAGCATCTGTCCAGCAGTAGCGAAGGTGGAGGCCTAAATAATTAAATGAAGGAATGTCTCAAATTTGTGTTTTGATTGGCTACAAGTCATTGCTGTCCACTTTCACCTTGATCCCTTAAGTATGACATCAGTTAGATAATAGGTGGAAGTAAGAATACATGGATCACTAGATTGCGTCTCAGTATTTCTCCCGGCAAGCTGAAGGTACTGGGTTTGATCCCCAGAAGGTTAGTTGGTGCTGAGATGAAACAGCTATCCAATGCCCTTGGATTTAAGCGGTTTTCCAACTGATATCAGTTAATGATCTAACTTGAAACAAGCATTTCTGTGTAATTTCTACTTAGGCCTTTCCCCAGGCTGATTCCAGGTCATAATCGTGACTTACTTGAAATTATTCACTATATCTCCTATCTCAGAAAATCACTACAGCTCAAATATAAGAATTAACGAAATAGTTGAGTCCGCCCAAGACATCTTTAAACTAACTGAATAAAACACTCGAAAAGTAAAGAAAAACTGTTCTCTTCTAAAATATATTGGGTATTTTACCAGTTAATACTAATGTCATCAATATCTTTTTATTATCTATCTTTCTATTAGCTAAAATGCTGAAATAAACAAACTGTTTAAACTCACTGCATGTACATAACAACACGAAAATTAGTAGATCGTGCAATTTAAAATGCAAAGTGCATTTTTCACATCTATTTAACAACTGTGTAAAACTGAAATACATCAAACTGCTTTCTAACTTCTTAGTGTGCAGTGAAATGAAAAATATGTGTGAGGAGATTGAAAACAGTAAAAATTTGAGGAAATTATGAAAATCAAATAGCTGTGCTGCTTTATCTCTAAACAGCTAGAAGTTGGAAATTACAGCTTGAAATTCAAGGTGTCTAACCAACTCAGCATCTCTGGAGCTCAGTTCTGAACCGTCCTAAACAAGAAGAGGAAAGTTTTCTGTTACTCTTCAACATTTTAAATGGTTCTTTCATCTGATATCGGTTCTTGACGAAAGCAACCACTAGACTCGTTCATGATTCAAGCTAGTGGAGTAAAAAACTCAGTGATTCGATTATACATTTCACCAAAACTGGAAACACTGAGTAGCTGTTATATTCTACTTCAGGATTATTTAACAATTTATGCTGACAAATGTAAAACTAATAAGGCGAAAATGTTACTATTCGCTTAGTCGACTGGGATGCAGTAGTTAACTCTTGTATTGAAATGGAAATAGATAGCCGGTTATAATAACAGATAGTGGTCATGATAATACTGAAAGGGAATGCATGGTCACATGCTTATTAGGATTCCAGTCCCACCTGTAGTTATATATGAACACAATAAAAGTGATCTAAACTATGACGAAAAGTTCATTTTGCTTTTTATTCTTTTCATTTATTAATTTCCACCTGTATTTAAAGTTCCAGTAAACTATATCGTCTAGTATTCAAAAATCAATTAATGATCACAGCGTCTGTATGAAGTAAAAGTATAAAATACTACTCTGTCTGATTAAGTTTGTTTACCATTACTTTACAAATATGATAAATAATGAGCCTATTCATGATGGAAAAAACAAACGAAGAATACAACAATCGTCTTCCTTCCTTTCACACTTAAATAATACACTTTTATTTGTATAAGTAAAAAATTTTTATTCTGGCGATAGATCAAATGTGTGTGTGCATGTGTGTAAATGAATATCATAGAAAGCATACAGAATTATAAAGGACTTCATTTTTACTTAAAATCTTATTGTTGTAATTGTACGCCTACTTCAAATTATGTCTGAGTTAAAAACTTTCACCCAGTTATTTGTCCTGGTTTACATCAGCGCTTGAGTTTGTTACACAAAACTATAACTATAATAATGCATTCGAGGATGTTTAATGCAGTAAATATTCTGCGACTTAGGTAAGGTGATTCTTCCCAAGTATTAACGTCACAGAAATTTACATAATCCACCTATGTAGTAGACGATCTGCATTTCAGATACCTAAGTGCTTCTGACTGTAATACCGAGTCCCAGAAGGGTAATCTCTTCGTGACCATCAGTTCCTTAAATCTTCAGTTGTGCGTTAATGACGAGTGCCAGCATACGCATAACTGGTATGCAGAGGAATGTCTATCACCTTAAGCGTCTGACATATAAAGTTAAAAGGACTACGGTGGTGTTTTGAACATAAATAAGCTGTTAGATGCTGTCTATTGGATAGTCGCTGGTGTGATACTAATTTATGTGGCAGAATTTTACAATGAATAGATTAGCTGTGAATTTTCAATTAGTCTTAATACATGAAAAACGGGACTAGTTCTTACAATGCTAACTGTCATAATCTGTTTTCGTCCTATTTACAAACACCAAAAATTGTAAGCTTTAATGCTGAAATGATTCAAAAAAGGCCTTAAAAGATAATTAATATGTGACCAATTGTACAAATTACAGTAGTATGTAAATGACTTAATCTATTTCATCGGTAACTAGCAATCTGATATATATATATGTAGTTACACTGCGAATTAAATATATACTTAACCTCACTGTAAGAGACGAAATAATGATTGGTAATTAAAATAGAAATTCAAGTATTGGTTTGTACGGATTTGACTGATTGGTTACAGGATTTCATCACCGGCTGACATTGGTTAGAGAACCATTGAAAAACCCCGGTGGGTGCGTGCTGATAAAGAGTCCTGAACTAGAACGAAACAGCTGTCCAGTACTCTCTGGTTTTCCAATGATGCTGTAACCGATTTTAGATCATGATAAAATAGACATTTTCATACTTTATATGAACTCTGATAAAGATTTGACTTAGTGGTTCCACAAACACTGTACGCCAAGTGAAAAGTTGACAAATGTGAAAATTGCATTTATATAAATCTCAGCGATTTGTCAAGGTTTTGGGTAATTGTTCGATTCAGGATTATGTTAAAACTAATTTTAATTCTCTGTAATTTTCCCCTTCCTCAGCTACCTCAATACAACTCTAACCAACATTTACTATGATGATAAAATGATCTTTCGAGTTATAATGTAGATATCATTCTGAATTTCTAGATTTTCTGAAGATATATATTTTTAAAACAAACAGAGAAAGTTAATAGAGCAGGAATCAATAAATTTATCAAATATTAGTAGAACTCTTCAAATGAATACAATATAGTTCCATGTAAATCAGTTAAATAGATCCATCAAACAGTGGAAAAGTATTATTTGCAGCATAACGTACCAAAAAAATACATCGTACATAATTATATCAATTATAGTAATACGACTTTAGAACTTCAGCTTTGTAGCTTTCTTTATTCTTTCCTAATTATAGCAGAGGCAGTAGAATTTTCCAGATGTCTGACTGGACAGATGTTGAGTCATCTCTAATATACGTGCTTGCAGTTGATTCGATAAATAAAGCTTCGTTTATAAATCAACAATAATCCCCACCTCAAAAGTGTTATATAAAATTTTCAAAATCTCATCTCAGACCGATTCGAAGGAACAAAGGTTAATAAAGCAGGACTTAATGAATTCGCTAAATGTATAAAGTGATATTATTATATTATTTTGTGTACACACTGATGAATAGATGGTTCTTGGTTGGCTGGTCGTTAGATTACAATGCTGCTAACTCTTTCCAGGCAGTCATCTGATTTTCACTATGCATCGAAGCGGACAGCTGCCTATGAAAATCTGCAGTATCCTGCTGGAAATACCTTTCGTGACGTGTAAACTCATTGAGCCAAACTGAATAATTGACTTGATATTAATTTGGAAGATTCAGATCCTGTTCCATAGTCTAAATGTAGTAGATTTCTACACTAATTTCAGGCTGATGAAAATTTGTTTTTCTTCTCCGATCCTGGCTTTCACGTGCTCTTCCATGCGGAGAATCTGTAGTTGAGATGATACTGCCAAGATATGCGGAAAAATTAACCTCCTTCAAATTTCTACCACTGATAGTGACTGGTACCTGTTGTTGCTGTTGGTCATTGGATAACTATATCAACTCTGTCTTCTCCATATTCATTTGAAGTCCTGTCCCCGCTGCTTCTCCAGACATATACTTGATTAATGAGATCAGCAATCTAAAGTCAACAGTTGTCGTTAAAACAAAGTGGTTTGTCATTCATTCAACACATATGTTAAGTCCCACAGAAATAAGTGTATTTAAAAAGGGACTAAATGTCAATGTAGCGGTAGACATCCTGAAACCTGAGGATAGAAATAGCACTAAATGGGAAAGATAAAACAACGGCCGGTGAAGTATGGGTACAATGTGCACTGACATTAAAACGACAAGATAGAGGAAAGCCTAACCTGACGAAAACAGAGATAGAAGACCTAAAACACCTTAAGAATAACAAGGACATGGGAAATGCAACAGAAATATTAGACAAATCAGACTATTGGGAGAAGGTGAATACTCACATACAAAATTAAGAAATCAATAGACACCGTTATAAATAAGGTTGAAAAATCCACA